TAACCCCGGGACACTGCAGCTGTCATAAATGTGTCTAAGTCTGTCTTTTGATTATATCTTTTAAATAGTATGTAGATAAGGTTTAAGGACATGATGGCAAAGTGGCTAAGAGCTGAGCTTGTCGATCAGAAAGGTCAGCAGTTCGATGGTTCGAATCCCTAGCACCGCATAACAGTGTAAGCTCCTATTACTTGTCCCAGCTTCTGCCAACCTAGCAGTTCAAAAGCACATAAAAAATGCAAGTAGAAAAATAGGAGCCACCTTTGGTGGGAAGTAGTGGTGGGTTGCAGGCCGGAGCCTGCCCGGAGCACCGGGTGCCGTTCTGGCATGGTGCTCCTGATGGTGCTCCTGAGGGCCCACCCGAGCTCCTTACTGTCCTTTAAGCCTTTGGTGCTTCCGCTCATGCGCGTGGCATGTACAGTGCCTGTGCGACGCTCCGCCGAGCAGCTGGAGCGTCACAGAGGCGTCGCAGGCAGGTACGATGCATGTGCGCATTGTGCACATCTGCACATGCACCGCACACATCCATGTGGGCAACACTGGACCCGTTCCAACCGTACCGGTTGGAACGGGATCCGGAACCCACCACTGGTGGGAAGGTAACAGCATTCCGTGTGCCTTTGGCGTTTAGTCATGCTGGCCACATGACCACGCGGACGTCTTCGGATAGCGCTGGCTTTTCGGGTTTGAAATGGAGATGAGCACCACCCCCTAGAGTCAGGAACGACTAACACATATGTGCAAGGGGAACCTTTACCTTTAAAGATGGACTTGACAGTCCCAACCTTGCAAGGGCTTAGTAAGACTCTTTATATTTACCTAGAAAATGTTTATGCTCTAAAATAAACACTGAACCATCTGATTGTTACAGTATGTAGCATATGCTGATCTACAGCTACATTACTTTCTGTCTAATTGAACTGTGAGTAATAGAACTTAATTTAGACCCGTCGTCGAAGTCAGTTCATGAAACGGAGGGATGGCCAAAAGTTTAGGATCTTTGCCTTTTAGTAAGATGATGTTATCAATAGCAACCAGATCCATCTTGAGTGAACAGAAAGTGAAGAGGCCTATTCTATTTGGCTGCACCCAGAAATGTTTGATCCGTGATTATAACAGCATCTTATATATATGCAGATCCAGACAATCTGCGGTTTTTTGCTTCTTAGTTACGCTTGATTTGTTCCTCTACTATGGGAAATCCCGATTCTTAATTTGACACCACTAATCCCACCCACCCCCAACAATTATGTTGCAACTATTAGCGACTGCGCTTCTCTCGCGTTCGGCAATGTTCCGCGGTGAAAAGCACATCCCAGAAGATCAACCCTCTTTTTTTTAACCGCCGCTCTTCCCCTCCGCAGGTACGTCTCGCTCCCTCTTGCCCCCCGCCCGTATTATTGACCCGGAAACCTCCCAAGATATTCCCGCTTTCAATCCATTTCCGTTCTCCCCCCCCGATTTTCCAGCCGCGAAATGGTATATTCGAACCAATCAGCAGCCACTTTTTTCCCGGTCCACCCACCCGCCGTCCGAATGGTTTGTCCCCCCGCCTTAAAAGGGACCGCGTGGAGGGGGCTCGCTCTTTTCCGCGCTTCGCCGCTACTACCGAGTTGGTTGTTGGAGGGAGGTGAGCAATTTCATGGCGCCCTAGAAAAAAGGGTGTGGATTGCGGGGGTGACGGGTCGCTCCCTGTCTGAGCCTTTAGCGAGCCAATATTCTCCTTTGCTGTTTGTATTTACCCGGGAGTCTATGGCGCCTCGCGTGGGCCTTTAATTTTTTTTCCCTTCGCGGGATGATGAAGCCGAGATAGGAAGTGCCGTCAGATGCGAGAACTGACGAGAGACTCCTCGTGGCTGACCGCAACTTGCCTTCTGCCCCTTTTCCTCCCTCCCGAGACAGGCCTAGGTTCGGTCCGGACCGAGGAAAAAGAGATAGGCCCAACTTCCCACCGACATTACAGAAGCCTCTTTTTTTTAAGCTGCTTTCTCATCTAATCTTGGATTGTGTTGCAGGTTTTCTGCCGAAGCCATGTGGGATCTGACTTCAAAAAGCCATAGAAAGAACCAGCGTGTAGAGTTGCGGGAGAAACATGCAAAGGTAAATTTAAAAGCCTCTGAAGGTGGATCGCATGGAAGGAAGGCTCACCGTGATGATATAAAAACCTTACGCTGGAATTACCGGCAGACTCTTGCTGTTGAGATGGTTATTTCTGAGGAGCCTCTATGGAGGGGAAAACCATTGTTCTCCCAAACACTCTTTATTACAAGCCTCTCTTCTTTCTTTCTTTCTTTCTTTCTTTCTTCAGGGACTCAGGAGCTGTCCTCCAAGATGAGCAATTGTGATTGAAATGCCAACTGTTAACTGGAAAGGATGTAAGTCAAAATGGATAGTTCTTGATCTGTTAGGTGTGTGTGCAGCGTGCAAAAATATTTCAAACCCAAAACAAACTATTACATCCAAGTTTAGTTCTAGATTTCAGGCAGTTTAGAATCAGGATAAGATTAAAAAAAATTGCTGGGCTTCTGTGGAAAGTTTGTGTTAGGTTTTGATAATGCTAGAACTGCCCTTAAGCAACAAATCTGGGATACACTTTGCTCCCTAAAAAAGCTTCCCAGCTACATATTTAAAATCCATTTTAATTTTTTGTAAGTCCTTCATTTTTAGCCGGGTTGGATACTATGTCCTCAGCAGTCCCTGGGGTATTTTGGTTATGTCCATGTGATGGTTCAATAGAAATTCTAGGCCATATACTATTATACTGTTTCCTATATAAAGTATCTAGCCAGACTCATATCCTGCATTGAAAACATTTCCAGGTAGGAAGTGCAATTTCTATTTAATGCTAGTAATGAAAGACAAGAATGTGAAAACAACTTCTCAAGTTCTGTGCTACCATTTCTACAGTACGTTGTACCATTAAGCATTGGAGGTTATTTTATTTGGGTTCATTTTGTCAACCATGTTTTTAATTTTACGCTCCATTATATTGTTTTTCTCTTAAATGCGCATGCACAGATGTAAAACTTGCTTGTATCTGGCCTTGGGACTAATAAAATTTGAACTGATAATCTGGATAAGGCAAGATTTTATTTCTTGACTTTTCCTATTTGAGAAAAAAACATGGTGTCAATTTTTTACATAATTACTTTATAAATAATTGAATGCAACAAACGTTTCTGATGTTCCCTTCCATTTCCCCCAGAATAATATCTCTGTGAAGATGGATTGGGCCAAGACATTGACTGGCCCAACATCCAGACAGCTTGCACACCTAAGTTGGGACTAGAATTTTCCTTGAAGAGGCTTGTTAGATACACAGTTTGTACTGATGTAAACATGATTAAAATCAGAGACCAGATTTGCATTATTAAAGTTGAGAGCTGAAAGAAGATTTTAGAAGAATACACTTCTAAGATGCATGAAGGTAGGTATGTACCTAGTTCATCCTTTGTGTAGCTGAAACTCTTATCTGATAATCTGAGTTAGAAAAGCAGTTTTCAGATAAACAGTCATACCAAAAAAGATCTGTAAATTTTAATGTTGGAATGTTCAATATATTTTGCTGGGATTGATTTTTGCATCTTATTTTCAAAGGGCTCTTTGCCCAGAAAGCCATTATTAATACAAATCAAAAGGGCTTCAATATTGCTAACCAATTTGTAAAATCTTGTTTCAGGCTTGGACAAATATTACTACTATTCAATGCACTCAAGACTACTGAAAGTGTCCATTTTTCCCTTGAAACCCTCTGAAGACCTACATATTGGGGCAAAGAGATTATTTCCTGCATTATTGTGGCAGTAAACTTAGAAGCTAACTTCTTCCCTTTGTTGTACATGCTTACTGAATGGGTCCAGTTTCAGAACCCTTCAGATGGCAAAGAAGGGATCCTTAAAAATTCATCTTGCACCTCTTGTCTCAATATATTTTACACTGTTTGTTAAAAATCTACCGTGTACNCGTGTAGAGTTGCGGGAGAAACATGCAAAGGTAAATTTAAAAGCCTCTGAAGGTGGATCGCATGGAAGGAAGGCTCACCGTGATGATATAAAAACCTTACGCTGGAATTACCGGCAGACTCTTGCTGTTGAGATGGTTATTTCTGAGGAGCCTCTATGGAGGGGAAAACCATTGTTCTCCCAAACACTCTTTATTACAAGCCTCTCTTCTTTCTTTCTTTCTTTCTTTCTTTCTTCAGGGACTCAGGAGCTGTCCTCCAAGATGAGCAATTGTGATTGAAATGCCAACTGTTAACTGGAAAGGATGTAAGTCAAAATGGATAGTTCTTGATCTGTTAGGTGTGTGTGCAGCGTGCAAAAATATTTCAAACCCAAAACAAACTATTACATCCAAGTTTAGTTCTAGATTTCAGGCAGTTTAGAATCAGGATAAGATTAAAAAAAATTGCTGGGCTTCTGTGGAAAGTTTGTGTTAGGTTTTGATAATGCTAGAACTGCCCTTAAGCAACAAATCTGGGATACACTTTGCTCCCTAAAAAAGCTTCCCAGCTACATATTTAAAATCCATTTTAATTTTTTGTAAGTCCTTCATTTTTAGCCGGGTTGGATACTATGTCCTCAGCAGTCCCTGGGGTATTTTGGTTATGTCCATGTGATGGTTCAATAGAAATTCTAGGCCATATACTATTATACTGTTTCCTATATAAAGTATCTAGCCAGACTCATATCCTGCATTGAAAACATTTCCAGGTAGGAAGTGCAATTTCTATTTAATGCTAGTAATGAAAGACAAGAATGTGAAAACAACTTCTCAAGTTCTGTGCTACCATTTCTACAGTACGTTGTACCATTAAGCATTGGAGGTTATTTTATTTGGGTTCATTTTGTCAACCATGTTTTTAATTTTACGCTCCATTATATTGTTTTTCTCTTAAATGCGCATGCACAGATGTAAAACTTGCTTGTATCTGGCCTTGGGACTAATAAAATTTGAACTGATAATCTGGATAAGGCAAGATTTTATTTCTTGACTTTTCCTATTTGAGAAAAAAACATGGTGTCAATTTTTTACATAATTACTTTATAAATAATTGAATGCAACAAACGTTTCTGATGTTCCCTTCCATTTCCCCCAGAATAATATCTCTGTGAAGATGGATTGGGCCAAGACATTGACTGGCCCAACATCCAGACAGCTTGCACACCTAAGTTGGGACTAGAATTTTCCTTGAAGAGGCTTGTTAGATACACAGTTTGTACTGATGTAAACATGATTAAAATCAGAGACCAGATTTGCATTATTAAAGTTGAGAGCTGAAAGAAGATTTTAGAAGAATACACTTCTAAGATGCATGAAGGTAGGTATGTACCTAGTTCATCCTTTGTGTAGCTGAAACTCTTATCTGATAATCTGAGTTAGAAAAGCAGTTTTCAGATAAACAGTCATACCAAAAAAGATCTGTAAATTTTAATGTTGGAATGTTCAATATATTTTGCTGGGATTGATTTTTGCATCTTATTTTCAAAGGGCTCTTTGCCCAGAAAGCCATTATTAATACAAATCAAAAGGGCTTCAATATTGCTAACCAATTTGTAAAATCTTGTTTCAGGCTTGGACAAATATTACTACTATTCAATGCACTCAAGACTACTGAAAGTGTCCATTTTTCCCTTGAAACCCTCTGAAGACCTACATATTGGGGCAAAGAGATTATTTCCTGCATTATTGTGGCAGTAAACTTAGAAGCTAACTTCTTCCCTTTGTTGTACATGCTTACTGAATGGGTCCAGTTTCAGAACCCTTCAGATGGCAAAGAAGGGATCCTTAAAAATTCATCTTGCACCTCTTGTCTCAATATATTTTACACTGTTTGTTAAAAATCTACCGTGTACTGGCTCTGGGAAGTGGGGGGGGTAGGGGGGATATATACTGTTAGATTTCAATGTAATGCGATTCCACATGTATACTGTTTCTCTTTAATTTCTCTGTAAAAATAGGACAAGCTGAATACATTGACATATAGTAGAAATACACCAAGGGGAGGAGGAATGGGATAGAAGAAAGATGGGGAGAGAGGGCGGGAGAGAGAATGGGAGGGAAGGTGGGAAGGGAGGGAGTGGAT